ATACTATGTAACAAAATTTGAAAATATTTCTGTTCCTAGTTTGAAAGTGTGAGGTCCTTACTTGAAAGTTGTTGTTCTAGTCCAGAAACTTTGTTTTTGTGGCTGCCACAAAGTATGTTGAATTGGTCGAGACTCGATGATTACATATTGCTTGAAAAACTAATGCAAAGTGTGCTGCAGGATATCCCTCCTGCAGAAACAAAGCTTGGACAGTTTAATAAACTTTTCCCATGTTTTTTTATGATAGAACCAATTAGGAAATTACATTACGCAGGAACAAAACAGGTGTTGCAGTGTGATTATTAGCCACCTTGAGTCCCAATGAGAAAGGCAGGGTAGAAACAAAGCTGCTGCTGCTTCTCTTCTTCTTCTTCTTCTTCTTCTTCTTCTTCTTATTATTATTATTATTATGTTTATATCCCGCCTTCTTTCTCCATACGGAGACTCAAAGCGGCTCATAGTTTAAAGTGTTACAATACAACTTAAAATATACAATATACAACTATTTTTAAAGTATTAAACATCATTTTTATTTATCGTGTCAGAAGCTAATTGAGAATACAGTTATAATGTATACAAAACCAAAAAGTTAAAAACTTGGTATTATACTATATTTCCTTTGAACAGAAGCTGGCCACTTAAAAGTGTTTCTGGTGTTGCTGTAAAAGGTCTTCCGTTGTGCATGTCGCAGGGCTCAGACCGCATTGTAGTAAATGGTCTGTTGCGTGCTCTTGTCCACACTCATATCGTGGACTCCACTTTGTGGCCCCAGTTCTTAAAGTTAGCTCTGTATCTTGTGGTCCCAGAACGCAGTCTGTTCAGAGCCTTCCAAGTTGCCCAGTCTTCTGTGTGCCCAGAAGGGAGTTTCTCATCTGTATCAGCCACTGATTGAGGTTCCGGATTTTAGACTGTTATTTTGCACTCTTGTTTGCTGAGGTGTTCTTGCAAGTACTTGTTCGTCCTGAGGACGTGGAGGAGGCCCTTGGGGCTGTGCGGGCGACCACGTCAGCTCTGGACCCCTGCCCGTCTTGGCTAACTAAATCAGCCAAAGGTGGTTTGATTGATTGGTTTGTGTTGATCATTAATGTATCGTTGGAGCAAGGGATTTTTCCATCTGGGCTAAAACAGGCTGTGGTCAGACCACTCTTGAAAAAGACCTCCCTTGACTCCATGGTCTTGAACTATAGGCCAATCTCCAACCTTCCTTTCTTGGGCAAGGTTTTGGAGCGGGTGGTCGCCTCTGAGCTCCAGGGTTTCCTGGATGACATCAACTATCTGGATCAGTCACAGTCTGGCTTCAGACCTGGCCATGGCACCGAGACAGCTTTGGTCACCTTGGTGGATGACCTCCGCAGGGAGCTGGACAGGGGGAGTGTGACCCTGTTGGTTCTCTTGGACATCTCAGCGGTTTTTGATACCATCGATCATGGTATCCTTCTGAGACGACTCTCTGGGATGGGCCTTGGAGGCATGGCCTTGTCGTGGCTCCGGTCCTTCCTGGAGGGTCGATCCCAGATGGTGAAGCTGGGAGACACCTGCTTGGACCCCTGGCCTTTGACCTGTGGGGTCCCGAAAGGTTCCATTCTGTCTCCCATGCTTTTTAACATCTACATGAAACCACTGGGAGAGGTCATTCAGAGTTTTGGAGTTGGGTGCCATCTCTATACAGATGACACGCAACTCTACTACTCTTTTCCACCTAACTCCAAGGAAGCTCCTCGGGTGCTGGACGAGTGCCTGGCTGTTGTGGCTGTCTGGATGAGGACAAACAAGCTGAAGATAAATCCCGACAAGGCAGAGGTCCTCCTGGTTGATCATAAACCGGATAAGGATATAGGGTGGCAACCTGTGTTGGATGGGGTTGCACTCCCCCTGAAGTCACAGGTTCGCAGTTTGGGTGTCCTCTTGGATTCATCACTTATGCTTGAGGCTCAGGCGTTGGCCGGGAGGGCCTTTGCACAATTAAGACTCGTGCGCCAACTGCGACCATACCTCATGAAGGCTGATCTGGCCAGGGTGGTCCATGCCTTAGTCACCTCCAGATTGGACTACTGTAATGCGCTCTATGTGGGGCTACCCTTGAAAACGGCTCAGAAATTTCAGTTGGTCCAACGGGCAGCGGCCAGGTTGTTAACTGGCACTCCTTACAGGGAGCGATCAACCCTCCTGTTTAAGGAGCTCCACTGGCTGCCATTCATTTTCTGGACCCAATTCAAGGTGCAGGTTCTTACCTACAAAGCTCTGAACGGTTTGGGACCTGCCTACCTGCATGACCGCATTTCTGTGTACGAACCCACACAATCTCTTCAATCATCTGGAGAGGCCCTACTCGTGCTCCCACCTACATCGCAAGCGCAATTGGTGGGGACGAGAGAGAGGGCCTTCTCGGTGGTGGCCCCTCAACTCTGGAACTCACTTCCTAAGGACATCAGGCATGCCCCAACTCTGGCAGTCTTTAGGAGGAGCTTAAAAATGTGGTTATTCCAGTGTGCCTTCCCAGAATAATGAACCCTTAGCATTATGTCCTCTAAAGCACTTTATACTGATTTAGGACTGCTTGTACGTTTCCACCATCCCCCCACCTCCTCTATCTTGTTCATGCCCAGCATTATTTTTTTATTTTTAATTACATTTGGCCCAGCCATAGATTTTAAATGTGTGTTCTGCTATTGTTCTAATGTCTAATGTTTATGCTATTTATGTATGAGATTTATTTTAATTGCTTTGTATTAGTATTTGTATTTTGCTTTGTATTGTGGTTGTATTGCTTGTTTTGATGTATTGTGGACTCGGCCTCATGTAAGCTGCACCGAGTCCCTTGGGGAGATGGTAGCGGGGTATAAATAAAGTATTCTTATTATTATAGTACTTCTGTAGATCTTAGGAAGCCGTTTCTTAACTTAAGGCGTTAGCATGCTGCATGATATCCAAACAGAGGATGGGTGGGCCAGAGATGTCCTTTCATTGCTGGCTGCTACTTCCAACGGATACCAGGTGGTGCAATACCAGCCAAATACTATAATTTCTCCATTGATGTTGGGCATAGGCATCTTGTGATAATACGACATGTCTCATTAAGAGTCACGTCCAGTTTTAATGTGGTGGGATTGGGTATTCAGCAACTGAGCAACAAAACACGAGGGCAGATGTCTTGGCATGGCAAGAGGGACATGAGAAAATCCTCCCCACAGAATAGTAACATATCCAGACATCTTTGTAGACAGCTCATTCTCTCACACCAGAAGTGACAAACAAACAGACCTTTTCAGGACCAACTATGACAATAATCTCAATTAACATCACAGACATGTCAGCTGCTAATAAACAATTGCTTTATGAACTATGTCAAGATTAAACATCATTAACATTAAAACAATTCAATAACAACAGGTGTTCCCTCAGGATACTGAGCAGTAATTGCCACAAAGAACAGAGGAAAGTATCCATGCCTCAGATTTTGTCCTAGGGTCCTTCCATACAGCCATATAATCCAAAATTGCAATTTCTCAAGTCTCTCCAGACTAAAAAAAAACCTCTAGAATATCAAGGTTGATAATCTCACAAGATTTGCTTTGAACTGGGTTACCTGAGGGCCCTTCCATACAGCTACAGAATCCAGAATATCAAGGCATAAAATCCTACAAGATCTGCTTTGAACTGGGTTATGAGTCCACACTGCCATATATTCCAGTTCAAAGCAGAAAAATGTAGAATTTTATTCAACTGTGTGGAAGGGGCCTGAGTCCACACTGCCATATATTCCAATTCAAAACAGATAATGTGGGATATTATTCAGTTGTAGGAGGGGCCTGGGTTATATGACTGTATGGAAGGGCCTTGAGGAAGCAGACTAGGGGCCCTTCCACACTGCCCTATAACCCAGAGCTTGTAAAACAACTATCCCAATGACTGCATAACATTGAGCCATGGCCATTGAAGTGTGGCGTCATTCTACAGTGTAAATGCAACCCACAAAGCCAGGCTCTGAGAGCCCTTCCACAAAGCCCTATATCCCAGAATATCAAGGCAGAAAATCCCACATTATCTGAGTGTGGACTCAAATAATCCAGTTCAAAGAATATATTGTGGGATTTTCTGCCTTGATATTCTGGGATATAGGGCTGTGTGAAAGGGCCCTTAGATAACCTAGTTCAAAGCAGATATTGTGGGATTTTCTGCGTTGATGTTCTGGGATATAGGGCTGTATGGAAGAGCCCTGCAACATTCCTGCTTCTTGGCAGGGGGTTGGACTGGATGGCCCATGAGGTATCTTCCAACTCTTTGATTCTATGAAACTACCTTGCCTTCCCTAGATCAGGAGAGGTTGGGAGCTTGGTAGCAACCAGTTATTGCTTTAGAACAAAAAAATCACCACACAGCCATTGTGTGGGCCCTTCCACACAGCCCTATATCCCAAGCAGAAAATCCCACAGTATCTGCTTTGAACTGGGTTATCTGAATCCAAACTCAGATAATGTGGGATTTCCTGCCTTGACATTCTGGGATATAGGGCTGTGTGGAAGGGCCCCCAGAATATTAAGGCAGAAAATCCCACAAGATCTGCTTTGAACTGGGTTACCTGAGTCCACACTGCCATATATTCCAGTTCAAAGCAGAAGTGCAGGATTTTATTCTGCTGTCTGGAAGGCCCTAGAGCAGTGGTTCTCAACCTGGCGTCCCCAGATGTTTTTGGCCTTCAATTCCCAGAAATCCTAACAGCTGGTAAACTGGCTGGGATTTCTGGGAGTTGCAGGCCAAAAACATCTGGGGACCCCAGGTTGAGAACCACTGCCCTAGAGGATCAAGTGGCCAGAACAACCCCGTGGAGTCACACAGGCAAGTGCAGTGAGAAGAGCACTCTGCACATGGTTGAGAACACCCTTGGCGCTGGAGTAACAGAACAAAACCTCTTCCATGAAGTTGCTTCAACAAGCAAGAGGGCAATCATTCACCAGGCCCCATGATGCTAGCCAACGAGACCCGTCCCTTCCGCTTTATACCAAGGCAAGTTCGCGCTCCTCGCGGCCACCGTCCGCTCTGAGGGGCCCTCCATCTCGGCGGCACTCTCCATGGCGACCACCCGTTTGCTGTTGGCGCCAAAACCCGCCACCTCCTCCTCTCGCGAGACTTTGAGACCCGGGCGGGTTTCTTGTGCTCCTCGCCGGCTCTGACTCCGCCCCCTCTCCTCGCGCGCGCTCCGCCCCCCTCCCCCCCCCCGCGTTACTAAGGCCTCCGCTTCTGGTAACTAGAGAGCGGAGCTTATTGGAGAGAGCGCGCGCAGGGAGCAGGTGCACTTTTTCCCAAGCTGTTAAGGCGCGCGCGCTTTTTGCTTATTTCACCCCTGAGGAGATGTTCTCAATCCCCACAAAGGCTCTTTTGTCTTTCACTGGGTGTGTATGTTGCACACGCACACATTTGCACGAAAACTAAACAGATACACATGCAACCATAACGAAATATTTAAAAGCTATCAAAAGGAAAAAAAAAAAAACCTAACGACCCTTCCACATGGCTGAATAAAATCCACATCGAACTGGATGATATGGCAGTGTGGACTCATAACCCAGTTCAAAGCAGACATTGTGGATTTTCTGCCTTGATATTCTGGGATATGACTGTGTGGAAGGGCCCTATATCACCAGAAAATGGGAACATTTGGGTAAATATCTCTTAGACAATATCATTTATTAGCAGTTGAAATAAAAGACGCAATGAAAGACCCAGCCAGTTTTAAAACTATTTGGTTTTTAAATAAAAGTATTGTTTCAAAAAACAAACTGTGTTGGCCAGTATAATGAAAATAATGACTTTCCCATCACCTAACCCTTCTTTTTTAAATATGTCAGTAGCCCTTACAGACAGAGGTGGCCCTAGGTAATTTTCAACCGTAGGCAAACAGTATTTTGGCGCCCCCCTCCCAACCAATCACTGATATATATTTTCAGTTGGTTGTGGGAGTTCTGTGTGCCATATTTGGTTCAATTCCATCATTGATGTTCAGAATGCTCTTTGATTGTTGGTGAACTATACATCCCAGTAACTACAACTCACATATGTCAAGGTCTATTTTTTCCCCAAGAGCGCCTCAAGAGTGCCCCTGGCCAAAATCAACTATACTGCAAATGCTTACTTTGTGTAATGGGTTGAGCCGCCCCTGCTTACAGAATATCTCATGCTTCCTTTTTCTTCCTTATTCCTTCCCTTTTAAACTAAAGGAACAAGGTCTTTGGCCCAAATGAAGGAGAACAGCACATATGACGGAGGATGCATGGAAGCAAATCTCCTGAGGTACCACAATGGCAGACAAGGAAACTGGGAATCCAGACACTTTGCTCAGGTGACCCATTATCTAGTGATCCTGTATGGATTCGAGTCTCATGCACTATTAAATCTAAGGCACACCTCCATTTTCAAAACCCTGAAACCTAAAACAAACACAAGGATTCGCTGCCGAATGTAATACGCAAAAAGCGGCCAAAAGTCTACTATTTGTAATTGAGAACACCAAAGCTTCCAGCAACAGAAAATAAAACCTTGGATGCATCTATGCCAGTAGTTCCCAGCCATTTTTGACCAGGGGCCACTTGACCATGGACCACTTTGATCAGGGACCATTCTCCAACATTAGTACCAAAAGGGTTATGAATCAGTTTTTGGTTAACTTTAGATTTGGTTTGTTTATTTGTGTTGCTGATTCAAAAAATTGCACTGGATAGACCACATCAACTCTAGTTTCTGATACAGAACTTATGACATCGAGTAGCTGCCATCTGCTTGCCCATAGAAAACCATATTTAATAATCTAGAGCTGATGTGGCCTATCCAATGCAATTTTCTGAATCAGCATCCCAAATAATTCCAGGAACAGGTCTAAAAACGAAGACACCAAGGCTTTCAGGCGCCACATGGAATAGCTCCGCTAAGGGGGAGGGAGGAGGAGGAGAAGCAGCAGTCAAGAGGCTTATTGCCTCTTATCTTTTGTGGCTAGTCAGCCTCTTCCCTCCCGACATCCCCATTGCCTTGGCACTATAAGAGTTTCACGAGACCAGTCACTCTTGTTGCAACAGTGTAGTAATGGTGAGGTCGCAGACCATATTTTAGTTCTTGTGGACCACTGGTGGTCCATGGACCACAGTTTGGGAACCACTGATCTGTGCTGTCGAACAAATCCACTTTAATTGTCTTAGTTCAATGCTATAGAGTCATGGGGGTGTAGTTTTACAAGGTTCTGAACCTTCTCTGCCAAAGGATACTGATGCCTCTCCAAATTGCAAATCTCAGGATGGTATAACATTGAACCAGGGCAAATAATTTAGAGATAGATAAAGGTTTCCCCTGATATTAAGTCCGTGTCTCACTCGGGGGGGGGGGGGTTGCTCATCTCCATTTCTAGGGTGAAGAACCAGCGTTGTCCATAGTCACCTCCAAGGTCATGTGGTTGGCATGATTGCATGGAGTGCCGTTACCTTTCTGCAGAAGCGGTACCTATTGATCTACTCACATTTGCATGTTTTTGAACTGCTAGGTTGGCAGAAGCTGGCCTAACAGCAGGAGCTCACCCCACTCCCTGGATTCAAACTGCCAACCTTTTGGTCAGCAAGTTCAGCAGCTCAGTGGTTTAACCCGCTGCACCACCAGGGGGCCCTTTAATTTAGAGGTGATGTCCCTCAAATAGGAGCTCCAGGGGCTCCTGAAGCAGCTTTCCCTTTGGCTTGGGCTCAGCACTAAGAGGACCCTATTATGTGAATGTAATGCGCACCTTAATTTGGGTGAGGTAATTTAGACAAAAAGGGTGAGCCTTAGACTCAGGTAAATAGGGTCTTTAGGCCTGCTTTTCTGAAAGATGACATTTCTTACCCTTCAGTACAGGCATGGATCCATGGATTCTGCATCCACTGATTCCATCATTGATGGCTTCAAGATATTCCAAAAAGCAAACCTTTTGATAGAAGCAAGAGCATTTTACTATGCCATTTCATATTGTGGGACTTGAGCATCCCTGGATTTTGATAAGCCTGAACTCATATCAAGTACTTCTGAATGCCTGGCCAAACAAAAAAAAAGTTCTTGGTGTCTTGGTTTTTAAAATAAATAAACTTTTTAAAGATTTTTAGGTCTGTTCCAGGGGTTCTTTGGGGCACTGATTCAAAAAAATTGCATCGGATAGACCCCATCCGCTCTAGTATCTTAGATAGGGTTACCCTAGTTTTCTGTGGGCAAGCAGATGGCAACAGGTAGATGGCATACATTCTGTATCTCAAAAACGAGAGCCGACGGGGGAAACAGGTGACACTTTTGGAATCAGCAGGTGAAATACACCCAGAAACAGGGCTAACATTTGAGGCATCAAAATGTATTATTGTTACAAAAGTGGCACAAAGGCATAAACAATCGATTTCTCTCAGAGCTATCAAGCCATATGGGCCAATGTTAGGGAACGGGAGGGAAATTGTTATTGTTATGATGTTTATTATGTCCTATTTTCCTCTATTAAACAAGACTCACAAGGGCTTGCAACACTCAAAACTGTACAATGTACAATTTTAAACCTACCACATGGAGACATGAAAATAGAGCTCAACCTTGACTTTTTAAAAACAAATAGTTAAAATTGTTGTTTAAACCCTGTTGAAATAATAAACAGAACAACTACAACTTGCCCTGGTGCATTGGAGAACAGCGTGTCACTTTCTACATGGTAGAATTAATGCATTCAGATAGCACCTGAACTGCCCTGGCTCAGTGCAATGGAGTTCTGGGAGCTGTGGTTTGGTGAGGCACCAGTACTTGGCAGAGAAGGCTATAGACCTTATAAAACTGCATCTCCTATGATTCCAAAGCATTGAGTCGTGGCAGATCAAGTAGGGGTCACACTGCATTAATTCCACAGTGCAGATGCACCCTTAGGACATGGATTCTGTGAAACATGGCTATCTCTGTATTAGCTGAGCAGCAGATTACATTTAGTCAGCAAGCTTTGCTTATTCAGTAAAAGCCAAACTGTGCCTCCTTGTGGCCCTTGAAGATGGAAATTCTTTGTCTGATAGTCAGATCTATCCTTGGGCATTTAACTGTTCCGTTTTCGATAGCAAACGATAAAAAAGCAGTCGTGGACTGTGTGACATTTATTTATTTATTTATTTATTTATTTATTTATTTATTTATTTATAACATTTCTATTCCGCCCTTCTCACCCCGAAGGGGACTCAGGGTGGAGCACAGCATATATACGGCAAACATTCAATGCCAGGACACAGATTGACATACAATACATAAACATTAAAAAAAATTTATCAAAATATTAAAATACACAATTTAAAACCGTCCTAGCCATCCGCATCAAATCCAATTGGCCCTGTCATCTTTCCCACTGCCGCTTCATTGCCCTGTCCCGAAAGCTTGGGACAGCCAAGTTTTTACCATCCTTCTAAAGGACAGGAGGTAGGGGGCCGACCTGATCTCACCAGGAAGGGAGTTCCATAGCCAGGGAGCAATCACTGAGAAGGCCCTGTCTCTCGTCCCCACCAGTCATGCCTGTGACAATGGCGGGACAGAAAGGAGGGCCTCCCCGGAGGATCTTAATCTCCGTGATGGTTCATGGGGGGTGGGGGGTGGAATGCGTTCTAACAGGTAATTTGGGCCGGGGCCGTTTAGGGCTTTATAGGCCAAAGCCAGCACTTTGAATTGTGCCTGGTAGCAAACTGGCAGCCAGTGGAGCTGGCGTGACATGGGAGTTGTGTGCTCCCTGTATGCCGCCCCAGTTATTAATCTGGCTGCCTCTCGTTGGACTATTTGAAGCTTCCGAGCAGTCTTCAAAGGCAACCCCACGTAGAGTGTGTTGCAGTAGTCTATTCTAGATGTAACGAGAGCGGGGACCACCGTGGCCAAGTCTGACTTTCCAAGGTACGGGCGCAGCTGGCACACAAGTTTTAATTGTGTGAATGCTCCCCTGGCCACCGCTGCAACCTGGAATTCCAGGCTCAGTGATGAATCCAGGAGAACTCCCAAGCTGAGAACCTGTGCCTTCAAGGGGAGTGTGACCCCGTCCAGCACAGGTTGTGACCCTATACCCTGTTCGGCCTTGCGACTGACCAGGAGGACCTCTGTCTTGTCTGGATTCAACTTCAATTTGCTTGCCCTCA